CAAAACGGCTCGTTCTGGTTGCACTCTTGGTGTGTAAATTTTGTACCTGGAACGGGCCGTTCCAGATGCCAAATTTACACACCAATAGTGTAATCAGAACGAGCCGTTTTGATTTCAGAACGCCCCGTTCTGGTTCCAGATGGTCAATGCCTACGGTTCACGGTTGTGAATCGTGCAAGGAAAAAGACCCAAGGTACAAAGCATTTCAAATAATAGATTTGGTAATATTGTCAATGGGGATTGATAACTTCAATTGCTAAATATTTGGGCTATACAGTGTATCATTAAGGACAATGCAGTGTATCACTAAGGACAATGGTAACAGGTTTTATTTCATTGTTAGTCAAACTAGAGTGAACCACTTACTACCAAATTGACACTATACAGTCAAGAATGAAACGAAATGATGTTTCCCCTTGAAGTCATTAACGATGTACGCCAACAATAACAACATGTTCTTGAGGAGGTACAACCTGAATTTTTGTGGTTTAGGGTTTCCCTTCAGCGTTACCCAGATGATTTCCTTTCTGAGTAATTTCTTTGAACTTTTTTAGTATATGTTTTGTTCCAAATTTTTATTTTCAGTTTCTGAACTATATTTCTATCTTTGAATTTATGATATGTTATGAATTTTTATTTTCAATTTTTGAATTACAGTGCAACATTTTGGTTAACGCATGCATGAAGTTGGCGTTCTGGAGAACGACCCATTCTAAAACCAGAACGGCCTGTTCTGGTTCCAGGTGTATTCATGAAATTTGGTGTCCATCTACGTGGCATGCACCTGGCATCCATGTGGAATCCACGTGGCCAACAATTAACTCCGTTTAAGTCATTTGGACGGAAGTCCCAAATTATAATAATTTAAATTATTAGGGACCAAATTGAAACTAAAAATTAAAGTGAGACTAAATTGAAACAAAAAAATATGATCAGGGGCCAAATAAGAGTTTTAACTCATGTTTATATATATAACTTTTTTATTTTTTTAAAAATAATTATATATAAATGACTTTTTTTTTATATTTTATAAAAAATAATATCAAATGATTTATTTGTGAATGGGTTAACAACTTAAGTTTTAGTAGTTTTATCTTGTCTTTATTCGGAAATTCGTGATTTTTTTTTTGCATCAATAAAGTTTAAGATATTTTACTTTCAATATATTTAAATTAAATTCCTAACGTGTACAAATAATTACGGTGCATGTAATAATGATATTCACAGTAAATACATCTTTCAATTTTTATACTGTTGTGAAATAGTGAAACCAGTTAATTCTTACTATGTGACAGATTTTATGTAGATTTTTATTTTATTGATGAACAAAATTTAAAAGTCCAAAAAATATAAAACCTCGCTACCTACTGATGAGATATCATTTTGGTTTTTGGTAAGTATAATATAGCATTTAATAGTTAAAGGCCTTAAACACTTTCATGTCATTCCGCACAGGAAAACGGTGTTTTTTTTATAATTAATATTGAAGAATACAACAACATGAATAAAAATTAAACTTAAATTTTTATATTTATATTTCAATCTCTCATCATTTGATTGATTTTAATAGTTTAGAAAAACAAAGAATTATATTGAACGATCAATTGATTAAATAGATTCCAATACGAAACTCACAAATTTGTACAATGAGATAAGTAATTTAATTTAATAAAAAAAATGGAAGTTCCATTTGAAGTAAGTACCCAAAAAAAGGTTCGTGGGTGCATATAGCGATGATAAAGAAAGGAAAAATGTAATACAACTTTAAAGAAACAAAGAATAATATATAGACTTTTTCTTTACAAGCATGCATGAGACATTAGACAACACAACTTTGTCAAGTGGGAAGGAAAGTTGCTAGAATCTCTTAGCTCACCCACCTTCCTGCCTCTTCTTCTTTTTTCCATATGCGTCGTATCCTCCTCAAGGTTCAAACTTCTCTTTAGAATTCAATTTTAAATTTAAAAAGGAGTAAGTAAAATAAAAATAATTAGAGAGAATTCATAAGTGCTAATGTCACTTTGAGTTTGAGTCACAAAATTAATTCATTTATTTACCTGCAAAGAAGAAGGAATCATGTTAGTATATTTCTGAATCCATTTCTTCTTTTATCAGTTAATTCAATAAATAAAACTAAAATAAATAGAAAACAAAGAGGAAGAAATGCATGTATATTCTACTTACCCTGTCGCCCACAAATCTTGCTCATAAAAGCAAAGAAAATAATAAGTATAGCCAATCCTGCTAATGACCCAACAATTATAGCAAATGTCTTTTCACCTCCATGATTCGATTTTCCTGCAACACACCAATCACCATCACACAAAACACATTATTCTCTCTTTTTAAAAATAAAAATAAAATATATTTTGACTATAAGTTTATGCGAGTGACCCAAACACATGAAGGTGAATTTTAAGTAAATAAATAAAACTCTTGATTTACATGTCCAAAAGAAAACTTGTGAAACACTTCTTAATTACAATTTGGAAGAGAAAATTACATTTTCATTTTGTTTTTTCTTTCTATCCAATCCAATCCAAATCGAAGGAATATACACACACGTGATTCATTACATTGTGAGTTCAATCAAAACCCGAAGCCCAGAAGAGGTAAAAAAAGAAGAGGAACGACACAAGCATGCAGCATGCGCTGATGTTGTTGGGCCTTACCGTGGGCCTTGGACTCATCGTGGGCCCCACTCACGGAGTACCTCGCGTAACACTTCCCGAGAAACATGTCGCCGTAATCCGCCGTGCCGCAGTCGCTCTTCAGCCGCGAGATCGCCTCCGTCAGGCAGTCCTGGCACTCGCCGCCGCTGAGGTCGCCGGTGCACTGCGCCACGCCGCGCACGTCGCCGGAGCCGCCCACCCTGAAGATCCCGCCGCTGCCGGAGAGGCCGGCGAGCACGGCGTCGCGGCTGGCCATGGCGCCGGGGTTGTAGCCGACGGAGGGCCCGCACTTCTTGAGCACCACCGCCTTGTCCTCGACGCCGAGGAAGGTGGCGTTGTCGTACTTCACGAAGCAGCCGTCGAGCTGCACGGCGCCGCCGCAGGTCTGGCGGCAGATGTCCCCGGCGCGCGTGACGGCGCGCGCGACGCAGGCGGCGCAGTCCGGCATGGCGAGGTCGCCGCGGCACTGGTAGAGGCCGTACAGCGCGTCCTCCTGCGTGGACCCCACCACGGTGAAGTTGTTGTAGGACGAGTACGTGGCCGAGTTCACCAGCGAGGTGAGTAGCGAGTCCAGGTTCAACTCGTAGGGCGAGTTCGGAGTGTACCGTTGCGGCGTGCACCCGCTGTAGAGGAACACGCTCGCGCTGGAAGATTCCGAAAATCTAGGGAACAAGGTCACGCAAAAAACACACATAGTGAAGAGTGATATACATATACTTCTTTTGGCCATTTTTATTTTTCGTAGATGTTGACGTACTACTATATATATACGTTAATAATAGCTAGGGTCTTGAATGTTTAGGGCACGTATGCATGTGAATGATTTTATGGAATGAATGAAGAGGACTTTGAACTATGGACTGAGATCCAACTGCGAGTTTGGACATTGAGTTCCTTTAAATAAGCAAATTCCACTAAGGATAAAGCTTCTCTTCGTTATTTTACAGCTGTGGGGTCGACGGTGAAAACTCTTTTTAATTTAGTTTAGTTGATTATTGTGCATGCATGGTTGCTTTTCTTTTCCGTTGATATAATTCAAACGAAGTAAGCAACTTTATTTTGTTACTTTGAAAAAAAAAAAATTTAAAATTGTATAACAATGTTAAAAGGGATTCAAATGAGGAATTTGTTTTTTATATTTTATACGGTGAAGAGTGGAGAAGATAGATAACTTAATCGCGGAAAATTCTTGGATCTTTTGAAAGTGGGAAGAAATGTACGAAAAGCATTAAAAATGTAATATTAAAGTTGGAGAGAGCGACAGTATAATTAAATTAGAGAGCAGTGTACTAATTGAGTTGTTGATTTGAAACCACATTGTTATTGTTGTTTCCATAATTCCATCGTGCCGCTGCAATACTTGCTTCTATATCATACTGGTAAAGCATGTATATCTATTTTCTATGATGCATGTGTGTGAGTGTGTCGCGACTGTGCAATATTGGCGTTATATATCTTCACTACATAACTTGGTAAAAGAAATATAGTTGTTGTTCGTCGTGTTGGTAGCAATGATTTGTGAATATATTATTGTATGGCTATGGATTAATTGCGAAGTAAAGCTTACTGCGATAAAGGAAAGGGGTTGGACACTTTCCTACAGCATCACCTTTTTCGATTGAAGACACTAAAGGACAACTGTGACATCGCACTACCGTCCTCGATCAATCTCATCCTAACTTTACCAAAGCCTACAATTAATACTTCATTTACATGTGTATGTGTAAATGAATAGTCGTACAAGCTTTTTATTTGATGCCTTTAAGAGAGAATTGAATTGATCAACGTTATCAGAGCTGATAATGTGGTATGTACATTAGTTATATACAAGCTTCTTATGTAGACTTTGAGAACATCATAGGGTATAAGACAAATGTGTATTTGAATATCCATAGATATAATTGATTTAAAGTTAATGTGAGTTTGTATAATTAATTTTGAGAAAATATGAGTAAAAAATAACCTAATTATTTTTGGATGACAAAGGATAATAACTTGATTTTCATATTAAATGTTATTTAGAAATTTGTCATCAAAATTACTTTTGAATATATAATTATAAATATGGATAAATAAAGCTTCAGAATTAACTGTTTGATGGAGAAATTACTAGTAATTACTTCTAAGTGGACGTAAATTTTCACACCTTGAAATTCATTCTACTGATAGTCAAACATGTTATAAATCTGATTTCATTATATGAGTGTAGTAAAATTAATTCCTAACATGTTTGATTTGAAACCCAAAATCATGAGATTTTACTTGTTAAAAATTTCATAATGTTTGCACTGTGTAAATTACAATTTTTAAATGCTCCATTGGTCCCCCATAAACTGTTTATTCTTATTAGGAGCAGACGTATATATTAATAGGTACCCTACTAGAATCAAAGACAGATAAATTATATTATGATCAGCAATCAATCTGGTGCAATTTCAATGATAAACGAAGAAACGGCCATATTTGAAGTTAATGCATACGAAAGGGGCTCTTGCTTTAACTAAACAAAAGGGATTTACTAGGTACTTTAAAAATTGAGGTGTTTAAACCTATATTGATGCTGAGTTTATTTTCCATCTTTTTTTATTTTATTATTATATTAGCTTTTAGTCACCACCAGGGTGAGAAGCAAAGCAGGCACCACCCACCCCAACCCTCACCACCTCGATAAATTATTAGGTTTCCTGAACTATGTGGTTTCTAATTAGTATTTATATAGTATGTAATTTTATATCAATGATTTTTCTAATAAAAAAATATAACATATAGTTAAATATTATTATTATTATTTTTCCATAGGTTGAAAATATAAATGTATGTTATATGATGATTAATTAAAATCATAATCATTTAATCATCTTGAACTACCTAGTAATTTCTCTCTCAAACACATTAAAAAGATGGGTTTATAGATTAATGTATGCTCGTTTGTCTTGGTTTATAATCCCTACGGGCTACAGCCATAGCCAGCCCAGCCCATAACTTTTGGCCCAATAAACTATTTTCTTAAACCGTACTTTTCTATATATTTTTTTAGCAAAACCTTACTGGTTAATGATATATACACCTCCTTTTTCTTATAAGTACACCTCTTTTTCAAAAAAAAAATAATTAAAATTTTAAAATATTCTTAATTTTTTGCTTTATTTTTTTTAATTTTACATTCACAACATTTAATGTAGTACTTTTTTTTTACAAATCTTTCTTTTTTCTTCTTTTTTTCTTTTTTCAATTTTTACATGCACCCCGTTATCTTTCCTTCACCCCACCTATTTTGGTAGCATGTAAAAATTGAAAGAGAAAAAAAAAGTGTGTGAAAAAAAAGAAAAAAGTAAAAAATTGAAAGTTAAAGGTATAAAATTAAAAAATATATATATAATATTTTATAATTTTTTTAAAAAAATAAAGAAGGTGTACGTATAAAAAAAAGCAGGAAGTGTATATATCATGAGCCTTCCGAAAAGAACTTTCCATCAGAATAATTACGAAAAGTACTTTACAGAATACTAAAATTACTATTCTGGAAATAACTTTTCGTTAAAATAATTATGGAAAATACTTTCCGTAACATTAGAATTACTATTGCGAAAAATTCTTTCCGGAATATTAACAGTGTGTATTTGTTACCATAATTCTGGAAAGAACCTTCTGCAATAGTAATTTTAAAGTTACGGAAAGTACTTTCCAAAATTATTCTGACGGAAAGTTATTTCCGGAATAGTAATTTTAGTATTCCGGAAAGAACTTTCCATGATTATGTACAAATATACCTCTGAAAAAAATTTTCCAGGATAATTTTTTTTTATTTCAAATAATATTAAGGATAATTTAGGAATTTAATATTTTTTTTTAAAAGGGGGTGTATGTATAAAAAAAATGGAGGTGTATATATCATCCGCCAACCTTACTATGTTCACAACAAGTTATTTGTACGTCTTTTTTTTCTTCTTCTATAAAATAGATAAATTACATGAGGCCCAAAACAAACTGGAAGTTGTTTTCTTTTGAAAAAAAGAGTGAGAGAGTTATTTAGGTGGAAATTTTTTTTGATAAGCAAAAGAAATTTAAATTAAAGGGAGTACAAGGGGTACTCCAACCCATTACAAGAGACACATAGACAAAATTAGAATCCAGGCTAGAAAGAAACTATGAGAAATACAAACTCGGGTTATAATACCAACTTGTGTAACTAAAAGAACACCTAGGGACAGAACTATTAATCCACTTCCATGAATGCAATTTAATATTATCCAACACTTCCTTGCAATCTGTAGTACCTTGTTGAAAGATAATGACATTTCGATGAAGTCATAGTGACCAGATAACAGAAACCCAAACCACCCGCAAAAAGTGAGAATGTTTTTTATATATACCAAGATTCGTCCTATATAAATAAAGAGAAATTAAAGAATTTGGAAAGACCACCGCAACCTCCAACCAATTAGCAACAGCTAACCAAGTATTAAATGCCATCGGGCACATTAGAAAGAGATAAAGAGGGTCTTCAACAAATAGAGAGCAAAAAGAACAAAAATTGTTATCCAACTCCACACCACGTACTTGTAACAATGATTTGCACGGGAACGCATTCAATAACATCTGCCAACAAAACACCAAGCACTTGATCGGAGCCTTACATTTCCAAAAACTTTTTATAACAATTTAAGTTAAACTTTATCTTAAACATTTAAGACAAACTTATTTCACAAATACATTGTGTTTGATAGCGAGAAGATAGCAAAGAAATGAGAGAGCAAATGAAAGAGCAACTTCGTTTGATAGCAGGGAAATAAAGAAGAAAGATTCAGAATAAAAAAAAAAGGTTAGCTCCACGCATGCCAATTTCCACTCCCAGGAGTGGATAAAGATGTGAAATTGATTCTTATATAATCAATTCAGGAGGTGATATATAACATGTTTAATTCGGTGTTAATAACGTGATTTTTCATGTTAAATTAGAAGCAGGTAGTTTTAACTTTCATGTTTTTGGATAGAATTGACATAAAAATATATTTTTATGAAACGCTAAAATAAATACATACATAATTGATTATATGTGTTTTTTTTAAATTTTTTTTATATAATTTGGATATTTTAGTCTAAAAAATTTAAAAGCTCTTTGTTTATATTTTATTGTATAAAAAGTTTTTCATTTTTGTTCTTCTTTCATTTTATTTTTACCATAATTTGATATTAAAAAATAAGATAAATATAATTCCATAAAATAAAAAACTAATTATCTTATTTAAAATAATAAAATGTTCAAATTTAACATTGAGCGTTAGCTGAATTAACTCGTTAGCTATGTTTTGGGCAGTGCGTGTGTTGCGCTTCAAGCCCAATATAGAGAATGTTTATATGAGGGAGCAAAAAGAAAATATCTCGTAATTAATGAAGTTGAAACGGCAAAATCGTCTAAATAGATAATTTAATTTTATTTAAAAAAAAATATATGAAATGACCTTTGGGGTTTAAATAACACATTAATTTCAAGTACACAGCAATACATACATGCTTGCAAGAGCTAGCTTCAACAATATGCAATAAATAAATAAATCACTATAGAATTATAAAACATTATTGCTATAACCCAACATCGGAGCTAAAAAATTCTACCATAGTTAAGATAAAAACTGAACAACAGCATTATCTGTTTATAGCTAAAAAAAAAAAATTAATTAAAGGATCCGCACTCTATGAGGGAAAAGTCTGTTTTATCATTAAAAAGTTATTTTAAACATTTGTTAATTTTGTTCTGGTAATTGAGAGATAGCACTATAAAACCCACACTACGCGGCAACAACCTTGTATCGAGTGTGTGAAACGAAGAAAAGAAGAAGAAAAGAGAAAGAGAAAAATTGTGTGTACGAAGAGTCTCCGCTGAAAGTTTTGGTTTCTTGAAGATGTCGTCACTCTCTGATCTTATCAACCTTAATCTCTCCGACATCACGGAGAAGGTGATCGCCGAGTACATATGGTTAGTGCTTCTCTTTGTTTTTCCCTACCCACTCATTTTCTTTCTTTTAAAGAATAAAGTTTTCAATCTTTCACTAGGAAGTTAAATTTGTTATTCTTTACTCAAATGTAATATGATTTAAGATTGGCTTAAATGTGTTTTTAGTCCCTCAAATTTAAGACAAATTTGTTTTTAGTCCCTCAAATTTAAAATTGTTATTTTTAGTTCCTGTAATTTTCAAAAATTTTATTTTAGTCCCTTAGGTCATCAATAACATATTTGAAAATCACTAATTAATATAGTTATGCAATATCAACCGGATTTAATGTGATATTTTCACTAATAAGGACACTAATAGGTAGATTTTATGCAATAATGTTTGATAAATTTCTTAACAAAATTTGAATATAAGGACTAAAATAAGATTTTTTGAAATTACAGGGACTAAAACCAATAATTTTAAATTTGAAAGACCAAAAACAAATTTATCCTAAATTTGAGGGACTAAAAACATATTTAAGCCTTTAAGATTTATACATATATAAATTAGTGTAATTAGAAAAGTATATAAAATAACATTGAAATTGACCTAATGGTGAAATTGGAATAAATACATAAAAATTTATGTTTAATATATATCGTCGTCATTGAAATTATTTTATTCATAAAAAAAGTTATATAAAGCCAAATATAAAGTGTTCCTCACAACATATCAAATATGATCCCAAGCTCTCTTTATATATAGATACATTAATTATGATATTTAAGTTTAAATGTATTTTTAATTCATCATACTTGAGAAAAAATATATTTTTAATCATTCAAATTTAAAATTATTTTTCAATCTCTATAAATTTTTAAAAGTTTTTTTTTTCAACCTATCCAAATAACACTAGTAAATTTGACACAAAATTAATTTATTAGTATCATTATTTATGAAAATTATATCAAACTTAATTGATACTACACAACTAAATCAACTTATCATTTGTAGATGATCATAAGAGACTAAAACACATCCTTTTGAAATTACAAGATTAAAAAATTTAATTTTATATTAAGAGATTAAAAATAAACTTATTCTAAATTTAAATGATTAAAATTATATCAAAGTCTAATATTTAAATCCTAATTAGGGTTATTACAGTATAGTCCATCACTAATCTAATTAGGGTTATTAAAGTATAGTCTATCACTAATTAGAATGTTTATATGAGGGAGCAAAAAGAAAATATCTCGTAATTAATGAAGTTGAAACGGCAAAATCGTCTAAATAGATAATTTAATTTTATTTAAAAAAAAATATATGAAATGACCTTTGGGGTTTAAATAACACATTAATTTCAAGTACACAGCAATACATACATGCTTGCAAGAGCTAGCTTCAACAAATATTAATGAGTACACTTTTTTAAAAATAAAATAATTTTTTTTTAAAATATTCTTAATTTTAATTTTTAATTTTTTAATTTTACACTTTCAACATTTTATTTAACACTTTCTTCTTCTTTTTCACATACCTTCTTCCCTCATCTTTTTAGTTTTCATATGAGTCTCTTATCTCTCTCCTACTTTCCTATTCTATTTATTTTAATAGATAGTTTTAATTATTTTGATTTTTACATTACTCTTTTCCACACTTCTTTTTCAATTTTCACACTATTATTTTATCTCCCATTTATACATCTAAAAAACACAACATTAAATTTAGTGTTTCAAATAATTTTAATATTTCAAAAAGTACTTTCTTAAATAGTGAAATTAATATTTCAAGAAATATTATCCAGAATTGTGTTTTAACATTTTCTAGAAAGTACTTTATGAAATATTAGATTTATTGTTTTGGAAATAACTTTATGAAATTATGTAAGACAACACACTTTTAAAAAATACTTTCCGAAACATTAATTTTACTATTTCAAAAATTACTCATTAGAGTGTGTTAGTTTATATAATTCTAGAAAAAAAAATCTGAAACAATAAATTTAGTATTTTAAAAAGCAATTTTCGAAAGGAAAAAAAATTTTAAAAATATTTTATGAAACACTAGTTCAATATTTCAAAAAGTACTTTTTAGAATGGTGAAATTAGTATTCTGTAAAGTATTTTCCTTAATACTAAATTTAATGTTAAGGTTTCTAAAGGCATTAAAAGGGAAAAAATGTTTAAAAAATAGTGCATTTAGCTAGGCAACTTTGAAGTTGTCAAAGAAGTTGCACGTGCGTACAATACTATCACATATTAGTTATATGATCTAGGTGCAAGTGAAAATTAAAAGAGGTAAAAGAGAAAAAAAAGAGTAATGTGAAAAGTAAAAAATTAAAACTATTTATCAAAATAAGTAAGGAGTGTGTGAAAGGTAAAGAAGTGCATGTAAAGATTGAAAGAAAGAAAAAAAAAAGAGGTGGGTGATAAAGAAAAATAAAATACTAAATTAAAATTTGGAGGTGTAAAATTAAAAAATTGAAAAAATAAAATAAAGATTAAAAATATTTTAAGAGTTTTTTTTAAAAGGGGTGTACTTTAAAAAAAAAATAGTGTATATATCACAAGTGTTTTTCTTATTTGAGAGGCTTCTCTGTTGTCTTCAGGTCCGGGAACTTTCTCTGAAACCTACACATTGCAGGTACCAAGACTAATCCTCCCCCTTTACAAATTTTCTCTCGTTGGAGACCCACATAAATAAATAAAGAAATGCATAAAATTTCTCTTTTTGACTAAATACATCAATTTAATTTCCCAATTTCGCCCAAGGAATTCCTCTGCTCATCAAGATAAGGACTCAGTCAACCAGTTCCACACGGATTCCTCTTTGCATCAAAGGAGTTTTTCTTTTCATACTTCAAAATGCTTGAAGTACAAAAATATGCTAATTCCAATCTTAGCTTCCGGTTAATTATACGAGAGAAAAAAACATTAAAAAAGAAGCTTATCTTGGCTTTACTCATGATTAAAGGTATATATAATTGATCATTAATTAGAGAAAAAAAAAAGTTAGCAAGGGCCTCAGTTTTATACATGCTAGACAAAATGTCCTTTTTGCGTGGAAGGGCATGGAACATCAAATTTCTAGACACGTTAACCATATGATACAGTAATAAGTTGCAACATTTCACACTCTATATTATTCATCCCTACTTATCCCAACTTAAAAGCCTTATCCCTACCTAAAAAAAGTCTACATTATTCATTCTTCTTTTTCCCACAACATTTTCTGAGTTATAACTGTCATAAAAGAAGTTGCATAACTTTAAAATACAAATATAATTCCTCTTTATCACACCAAGTTATAACCCCCACAAATTACCCCAACAACAACAGGAAATTGTTCATTGAAGAATGGATTTTCACAAGTCTCACTATACAGATGCAGTGCATTCGCACATTTTCTAATGGGGGGGAATTGACACATTCTATTACTATTTTTATATTCTAATTGTATCATGCATTTTGTTGTAATTCCATCACTTGTTTGTATTGTACTATTCCTGTTCCTGAGTTGATGCCGTCCAAGAAAAGCTAAAAGTGTTTACAAGTCAGATTTGGCATCTCCTATGCAGTGTATAGAACCTACTATTTGTCTCACACGACCAAGTTTCCGAACCATGAGACGGTTTACTAGTCTCTCTAGAGCTTCTTTCATCCACCAGTGTTGACAAACTTCCCTTGCTTCAGAAACGCTCATCTAAGACCCCAAATGAAATTTTCAAATAGTCTCAGTAGTGATCATTAGAACAAAGAATGAAAGAGAATAGTTCAAACACTAAATATCCAAGTAACAAAAAGAATAATTCAAACGTTATCTCTATCTCAGTATTTACCTACCCATTTTCTTTGACGAAGATTCTGTTCTGGCCACAACTCTAATTGCTCTTCAACAAGTAGAGGGAACATGTAGCCTTCGTAAAAAGTATCATGAGTTTTGCTCTTGAAACTCCACTTGCCCAATTTACCCTGCACCAACCAAATAACATAAGTACTACCAAAGCCTATTTCTTGATTGATTCATAGATTTTGTAAGGATTAATGATTTCTAATTTGTTCACCACATAAAAAGTTCAACACTATTTTATTTTTTTATGAAGTAGCCTCACCTCAACAGTGCCACGTACCCCTGCTTCTTCTATGGTTTCTCTCAAAGCTGCCTCCTTTTTGGATTCGTCTAATTCCCACCCTCCCTGTTGTTTGATCAAAAGGATAGTTAACACACAAATGGGGTGAAAAAAAATGTAAATAAATAAAAAAAAACCCTATATTTGAGTGTTAATTTCATTAACTAATATTTTGGTGTGCGGTTAGTTACCTTAGGAAATAGCATCCCTTTGCCTTTCTGAGAAGTAATAACCAAAACTTCTAAATCTAATTCTTGTGGTGCATCCAAGGAGGTTTGATCACCAATTTTATATCTGTATGGTATGCATCTACACATGTGTAATAGACACGAGATTGGAAGAAAAAAGAATGTTATTGAAATGAAACTCAATGGCTTAAGGAATGGGAAAAAAAGAAAATAGTAAAGAGAATGATAATGAGAGAAACTAACCCAACAACTTGGCGACGACCTTTTCTGTAGCGCTGGAACTCCCTGCCTGTACGAGAAACCAATGCAACAACGTTATCTTGGGAAACCAAAGCCACCATTTTTGTGAAATTTGAAAGAGAGAGAGAGAGAAGATGGCAAATGGCAAATGCTGCGAAAGCAAGTGTTAGTGGATAGGATAGGATGATACAAACAAAGGGAGGGTCCTATTAATAATCGAATAGTTACGTTAGAGGCTAGGGAAAACCAATGCCAAGGCCTTTTTCCACAAAGTGCTAATTCAAAATAAATAAATGTAAATGTCAGGTTGTTTTAGTTTAATAACTAATTTTGAATTTAAATTTAATCATATAATTCACACTTATATAATTATTTTAATATGATCAATGATTTTCTATTTTAGTTCTCAAAATACATTTATATTAAGTACTATGAAGGAATAATTGGTCACCTATTGTCGCTTTATCTATATACTATATAAAATTGATAGCATAATTTGATGTACCTATTTTTAGGTGATTTTATTTTTAAAATTTTAAATAATAATAATAATAATAATAAAATAAAATAAAAGTGAGACAAACATTTTTTAAAAGTTATTAATTAGTTTAACTAATTATTATAGGCTTGACTCTCAAAAATATTCCCAGTGGAGTCGCCATCTGTAGCAACCTCGGTCGCGACGGGACGGCGAAAAATAAATTGAAAAAGAGGAGTCGCCACCAATGTTATTTTTTACGGAAAAACATTGGAAAAACCATAAAATAGAAAATAGTCTGCGAAAACCAAATTTTTGAGTTCGGGAGTCGATTACGTATGAGGAAGGTATTAGCACCTCACAACGTTCGTCCTAAGACGATTACCTTTAATTAATTAAACTAATTATTTATAATTTATAAAATATTTATCTCACTAAAATTATCAAATATATTTTATTTAACTAATTTAAATTATGCATTGAAAAAAAGGTTAAAATTATTATTGTTATATAAAAAGGAGGATAATATATTTTTTTATTTTTTGGCTCGACAAGATTTAGTTCTTGCTCCTACGTATCTTCATGTGTAATGAAGAATCAGAGTCACGTAGTTCTATGATAGAAAATATTTGTGTGTTCATATTTTTAATTAAATTTTATTTTTGTTAAATATAGGATTCTTGAACTGTCTCAGCTCATTCACCTAAAAATATAAAATTGACTAAGGTGTACACCAAAGTCAATTCAATAAAATTTTAATTATAATTATTGCTAGAGATGTTATGATGTTAAAAAAATTTCTTGGTTGAACATTTTTGTTTTTGGAGGAAAAACTTAAAGATAAGCTGTCACAACTTGTACTTTAAATTCAAAGGTTAAAAAGATGTCACATCTAATTAACCATTCCTCCAATAAATTTTTGATACAATAATTTCAGATATTTACATTAAATATTGTAACACTATATTTTGATATTTAATCACATTTTGAATATAAATAAGAACTAATAGCAGATATTACTAATATAAAAAAAATAAATAAAAAGAAATGAATTTAATATACTCATAATTCTTCGCTACAGAAGTGGGTCTCCTTCTCTGGGTTCCCTCTGGTCCAAGGTGGAGATGTGTGTGGGAAGGGTGTGTGTAGGTGTCTTTGGGAAGGGGAAGGCCCGCTATTTATAGACTTTCTGGAGGGACCGGAACGGCCCGTTCTGAATCCAGAACGGCCCGTTCCGGCGTTGCAATTTTACTCACAACGGCCATTTTCGGAACGGGCTGTTCCAATTTCGGAACGGCCCGTTCTAGACTAAATTTTTTAGGTATTTTGGTAGTTCGAGAACGGCCCATTCTGGGCTAAAAATTACAGGTCCTTTTTTAAGGTTGGAATGGTCTGTTCCAGTTTGGGAACGGGCCTTTCCAGTTTCTGGGAGCAGCCCGTTCTGGGCTAGAATTTATAAGTCTTTTTGGATGGTTGGAACGGCCCGTTTCAGTTTTGGAACGGCCGTTTTGGTCTAGAAATTTTAGGGCTTTTTGGAATGTTGGAACGGCCCGTTCCAGTTTTGGAACGGCCCGTTCTGGGCTCGAAATTTTATGTCTTTTTGAAAGGTTGGAACGACCCGTTCCAGTTTTGGAACGGCCCGTTCTGGACTTCTGAAATCATAAAAAAAATTACTAAATTACCCTCCACAAAATATCAAAGATGAGGTGTTACATTTACCTTCTATATTTTTGTCTTTTTTTATATTCTTTTTGTACATACTTTTTTTGCTATTTTTTTTAACAAAAATTGACGTTTCCCAGATAAAATTGGGTTACTACATCCACCTAGCGCTTGAAGAAAACCCTAACAGCCACAAGATATATACTTATTGCAGACCCACAGAACAACAACCATAGTATTTTATTCCTAATGAAAACCCTACCAATGGAGAGCAACATGAAAATGTTAGGGGTCAAATCCTAGCGAGATCGGGTGTGGCAATTAGGGAGAGACATTCGAGGGCCAGAAATCACTGTCACAGACAAAACAAACAATGAACCTTTCACCAAATTCTCAATAGTGTAAATCTTAAGGTACATGTATGTCAATTGTCAATAACCTATTAGAGACAAAAATGTAAATCATTTTTTTCTTTTAAAAAAATATAAATAATTAAAACAAGTCCAACAAGTAAAAATGGTTTCATCACAACTTTTCAAGTACTTACTATTATGTCTAACGGTATATGTTATTTGCACCATTTTATACCACGTATTTGATTAGATGTCTAGTTTATTTAAAAGAAGATTACATCCTTTATTATATAATAAAATGAGATATATATTTTTATTTGAAATTAAATTTTAAGATTTTTTTTTGTAATTACTAATTTTGTTCTAATTATTTTATTATTAGTTTTTAATTTAATAAATTATCTATTATACATTCTTAAACAAAGTTTTATTATGTATTTAGAAAATATCACCTGTAATCATCTTTTTCACATTTCCCCCCTAAATTTTATCAATATTTTTTCTAATTTCTTTCATCTATGAAAACATACCATATTTAACTATATTAATTAAGGAACATGATGAGTTTGAATAGTAGTTAAGTACTTATGCTTACACATTATAGAAATAATCAATTTAGTGAAAATTCTCATATTTAATCTTCATCATATGTGAAAATCTTTGAATTTTTTGCAAGTTTAGGATTTTTTTTTGGTATCATTATGAAAGATAGAAGGCAAAAATACACTAAAACCTAGATGACATAGAGTCAACTCCTAAAACAAATAAAATAAAATTTGGAGGACTCCTCCGTGAAACATTCGTGATAAGACCACAAAAACTATATTAATTAAGGTAATTGTAACAAGTATTTATTATGATCAATTAATTAAGTCAATCAATAAAATTAATAAATCTTAAATGAATTTATTACATTTTTTTTTATAATTATGGAAACTTTTTTTGTTTATTATCACGGTTATATAATAATTACTTTAAATTTGTATTATAGACTTATAGTGTTAATTATGATAAAAAAAATGGTTATATTATCTTAAATACTAACAAACTCTTGTAAAAAATAATTTCTAAGGAACTCATCATGTGATTTAACTTAGTTAATTCAACTATTTTTTTTCTTTCTATAATGGACCTGTTGCATAATAGTTAAGAAATTAATATATAATTTTTTAATTAAAAATTAAAATAAAATTACACAAAAAATATGTTAATAGATTTTTCAATAAATATTATCTCATTTTTTATTCTTTAATCAATTTACTTATCACAATAATTAGCATTTTCCTACTTATAATAAGTGTTTACCAACATTTGTAATTAGACATTCAAACTTTTTTTTTCTGGTACTATATATGATGAATGAAGTAAAATAATATGAGTTAATCACCTATACATTGCCATTATAATTTTTTTTATACTGACAACCAATCATATTTTTTAATAGTGTTATGTCATTTACTTATTTAATAAAATAAAAATAAAATAAAAATAATATAAAAGATATGATTGGTTACTAGTATAAAGTTATACTGGCAGGTGTATGGATGATTAACTCAAACAATATTTCAAACTTTCTTAAAAAAATGGTTAATCGTTTTGGTACATTTTATTTTAAGAAGGAATCGGCACCTTTTCATTAAAAAAAAAACTAAGTATATTTTAGAAGATATTAGAGGAACTTTATTTTGGATATAGACTCTCTCAGGACCAGTTAGAGACCCTTCAAAGCTTCCCAAGTGGAACTATGATGGTTCCAGCACTGGTCAAGCTCCTGGACAAGATAGTGAAGTGATCTTATAGTAAGTTTTTATGTTATTATATATTCTTTCTTTTTTGTGCGTTCCTCATTCGTCCTATACAGAAGTTTTGTTTGTTAGTTTCTTTTAAGAACTTTTCTTTAACGTCTTATTTATTTTCATTTATCATTTTTGTCTCTATTTTTATTTTAAATTTAATAACTTTAAAAGAAATTCTCAATGATTAAAATAACCTTATTAAAATCATTCACTTGTCCTAAAATAAAACGAGAAAAGTGTGTATTAATTTCAGGTTTTATATATTTTGCTGGTAACTACTAACCAATGGAAATGTAAAATGATTTTGGATATAGACTCTCTCAGGACCAGTTAGAGACCCTTCAAAGCTTCCCAAGTGGAACTATGATGGTTCCAGCACTGGTCAAGCTCCTGGACAAGATAGTGAAGTGATCTTATAGTAAGTTTTTATGTTATTAATTAATTAATTTTATTTATTTATTTTTTGTACAATAAGAAAAAAAAAAATTAATTAAAGGATCCGCACTCTATGAGGGAAAAGTCTGTTTTATCATTAAAAAGTTATTTTAAACATTTGTTAATTTTGTTCTGGTAATTGAGAGATAGCACTATAAAACCCACACTACGCGGCAACAACCTTGTATCGAGTGTGTGAAACGAAGAAAAGAAGAAGAAAAGAGAAAGAGAAAAATTGTGTGTACGAAGAGTCTCCGCTGAAAGTTTTGGTTTCTTGAAGATGTCGTCACTCTCTGATCTTATCAACCTTAATCTCTCCGACATCACGGAGAAGGTGATCGCCGAGTACATATGGTTAGTGCTTCTCTTTGTTTTTCCCTACATACTCATTTCCTCTGTTTCCCCTGCTCCTGCACGTAAAAACAGAACAACTTTGCATATGGCATTGGAACGCTTCTATGCGTTCCAACGTGCATGGATGTACGTGTGCCACAATTATTCTCTTAATGGGTGTGTTTTGTTTTAGCTCATCTTCCATTTGATTGATCACAGAGCTATCTACTAGACTCTGTACTATTACTCTGTTTCCCCTGTTTTTCTGTTTTATGGTTTTAGCTTGCGTGTCGTTTGTTTTTCATTTATTACAGAGTCCATACTTTAATGTGCATATTGACACCACATTGGCATTACATTAACTCCTTCCCCCGTTTCTGGTCTAATTCAAATACCATGCTAATGTATTTTTCTAGTTTTTTTATTTATTTATTTTATTTTCAATTTTCCCCACCCTTAATCAACACTTGCCACCTTTATTAGAATTGAGCTAGTGATCAAAGATTGAAGTATATGCATGGAAATTTAGGTTTGATTTTGCTGACTTTGTAAACATAAGAAAGAAAAACACTTAACACTCTTTTACTTTCTTTATGATAGGGTTGGTGGATCCGGCATGGACATGAGAAGCAAAGCAAGGGTAATTTACTTCACCTTTTTGTAACCAAAAGTAAAAGATGAAAATTGAATTTTTTGTCCAATAAATTTTTAATTTTTAATTTTAAACAGTCTTATTGTTTGAAAATTATTAATTTTTTTTTATAATCTTCCTTCACACTAGGTCTCTATAGAACTCTTTTTATTTTTATTAAAGGAAAATGACCTTTTTATGAGATGGATTTCAAATAAACCACGCGAATAATCATTTTTTTCTCAAGTTTGTTTAAATTTTCCCAATTTTTAAATTAATATTTGTTTTTAAAATATGACCCCACTCCACGTTAGGTATATTCTTTCTTTTTTGTGCGTTCCTCATTCGTCCTATACAGAAGTTTTGTTTGTTAGTTTCTTTTAAGAACTTTTCTTTAACGTCTTATTTATTTTCATTTATCATTTTTGTCTCTATTTTTATTTTAAATTTAATAACTTTAAAAGAAATTCTCAATGATTAAAATAACCTTATTAAAATCATTCACTTGTCCTAAAATAAAACGAGAAAAGTGTGTATTAATTTCAGGTTTTATATATTTTGCTGGTAACTACTAACCAATGGAAATGTAAAATGATTTTGGATATAGACTCTCTCAGGACCAGTTAGAGACCCTTCAAAGCTTCCCAAGTGGAACTATGATGGTTCCAGCACTGGTCAAGCTCCTGGACAAGATAGTGAAGTGATCTTATAGTAAGTTTTTATGTTATTAATTAATTAATTTTATTTATTTATTTTTTGTACAATAAGCCCTCGATAGGTTTGAGATCATTTGGTGATAGCCTGTATAATTTTTTTATGTATCATTTTCTTTAATAGTTGTTAAAGGGATATATATGTTATCATGATGTTTGTGAGTTATTAGGAAATCGATTTTATTATGATGTTTTGAGGTGTTGTCTTGTGGATCAAAAGTTTCTTTAAGGTTGTATGATGTTATGTGGTAAAAGCTATTCATGTACAGGCCATACGTAGTAAACGGTAATTGATTCATACATGCTTAAGGATGGTATATATGAAGGTTTAAAGTAGGTATTCTAATATGATTTGATATGCATTTATGTTGATATGTGGATAGATGACCTTAGGGATTAATTAATGAATATTTGTGTGTTTAGTGAGATTGACCTTAGGAGGTGATATCATCATAGTGGAATTGAGGGTGAAAATATATTCAAGACAGCTTTACGCCAAGCTATTTAAGTATGAATTTCTATTATATGAAGTGAATTTTCTAGGTTTTGTAATTTCTAGTGGAGATATAATGTAGATTTATCTATGGTAGAAGTTGTTGATACATAAGTTAATTAGTAAGATTAAGAGTTTTCCTGCATTAATTTATTAATATAGGAGATTTATTGAGGAAATTTCTAAGATAACATTACTTTTATTTGGATTAACCAAGAAGAGAGAGTTACCTTTATGGAATAGTAAGTGAAGGTAGTTTTCAAACTCTTAAGGAAAAATTGACTAGTGTTAAGATTACCGGACTCTAGTAAGTGTTATGTGTTATATAATGATGCTTCGAAGACGGGTTTGAGTGGATTGTTGATGCAATAAAGAAAGGTAGTAACTTATATTTCTAGGCAACTAGGTATGGAAAATTCATGAAAAAAAAAATTACCTTACCCATAACTTTGAATTAGAGATTGTAATATTTATACTTAAGATTTTGGAGACATTATTGGTATGATTCTAAGTTTGAGATATTTAGTGATCATAAGAATCTTACATATCTGTTTGATCCAAAAGGAGTTAAATATGAGATAGAAGAGATAGTTGGAAACTGTTAAGAATTAAGATTTTAATCTTAATTGTTATTTGGGAAAAGCCAATGTGGTGGTCGATACTTTGAGTAGGAAACCTCTATATATATCTCCCCTTATGGTTAAAGGGATGTATCTTTTAGCTCACATTAGAAATTTAAGTTTGACTTGTGAAATTACTCCTAGTAGTGTGAAACTAAGTATGACTCGAGTAAAGAATGGACTATTGAAGGAAATTAGAGAAACATAATTAGTTGATTCATTTTGATGCAAGACATGAGACCATAAGACAAGGTAGTAGATATGAGTTTGCCTTGGGTATAGATAGGGTGGTAAGACTTAGAGATTGATTATACGTACCTAGTAAATTTACGATTAAGTACTTGATTCTTGGAGAGGGTCATAAAAATTAAAGTAATATGGTGACAAATGCTTTAAGTAAGATGATCATTCATTTATCATTTTTGATAATGTAAGGGTTGAATTTGATTGAGGAGATTAGAAACTTAAGCGTGATGTGTGAGCTCACCCTTAGGAACATTGAATTGAGTATGTTGAAAGGACTAATAGATTAATGGATGAGATTAGAGAACCTTAGGAGTTAGATCCTTTCTTAGTGAATCAAGTAGAGAGGATTGGTAGGGGTATAAATAGCTCTTTAAGAGTGGAAGTTGATGGTGTTATGGGATTTAAGGATAAAATCTTTGTGCCTAGTAATCTTGAATTAAGGAAGATGATCTTAGAGAAAAAACATAAGAGTACTCTTAATATTCATTTAGAAGCTACTAAGATGTATCAGAGTAGCGCAACGGAAGCTGGTGGCCTAAGGTGAAGAGAGGAGTAGAGAAATTTTTGTACTTTTGTGTAGTATGACAGAAGTCTAAGGTAGAACACTAGAAGTCTTTAAGATTTTTACAGCTTTTAGACGCCCCATTTTGGAAGTAAGATGGTGTATAGATAGACCTTAATGGTAGGTTTATCTAGGGTTGCTTAAGAAATTTGACTCTATTTGGATTATAGTGGATAGACCCACCAAGTTTGCTCACCTTATACTTATTAACATTAGACATTCCTTGGAGAAATTGATAGAGTTGTACATCAATAAGGTAGTGAGTTTACATGAGAATTAGAAAGTAAGATGTGAGGAGTCTACCAATTTCTGTTTTCTCTCAAGTCTTGATATTTATAGCCTTGTGATAAATCTTCCCGTTGTTTGAATTTGAATGTGTCTGTTGAGGTGGAGCTTTCCGTTGGTGCAAATGATATCTTGTTCATGGTTACACAAATCTTTTTCGTTTAATGCATTTGATTTTGCATTAAATGCTTTGCTTGCTAAATCTGTGTTACGTGAAGTCCTTTGCATAATTTGTTCCCTTTTATTTTTGACTTCAATCATGACCTAGGTATGTTTGTCCTTTTTCCGTCATTGTAGTTGCATAGGCATTGCCTTTTTCTGAAAAGTAGGTGTACTTGTCCTGACACACGCAACTTTGACTTGTGAATTCGCACTCTTGAATTTTTCTTCTTTCTTTTTATACCTTTGATAACTTCGTGTGCTTTTCTTATGAATGAAGATGATATATGATCTTCTTCGTTGTGACTAGTGGAATTCAGACGCTTTTTCAACATGCTTCATTTGCATCTGGAAATTTGAGTCTGCGTTTAAGAGTTAGACTTTGACTTTGTCATCTTGTCTGATAAGTCTAGAAGGTGAATGACTTTTATTCCGTCTGGAATGTTTCTTCGTCTTGTGTTATCCAACGACTGATGATTATTTTGTTGACCTTTATGTTGTTGACCATTGAGCTTCTTCTAATATTTATTTGGTGCTGAGCCAATTTTGTCTTGGTCTAGTTTTTCTCTTGTTTCTGATTTCTTATATTGCGCTCTGGATTGTTTTTGACATTTCTTCGTTTGGTATTTGTTGTCGTCTAGTGCACAAGTCATGATCCTTCTATCATTTGACTTGATTTGTTTGATCTTTGTTTTGCTCGACCATGCTTTAGTTTTGCTTGTTCTTATACATATCTGAAACACTACTATACAGGTTAGTAATAACAATATGTATTATATTTGTCATATTCAAAACCTTGCTGGGAATTGCTTCGTTTAACTTAACAATTTCCCCCTTTTTGATGATGACAAATATAATCTATCAATTTGTTTTACATATAATATAATAGATATATAGTTTCATGCCAATCAAGTAATTTTATGCATTTTATACATACATCAGATTGATTTCTAGGTTTCGTAGGTATTTCAGACTAAGGTAGTAAGGCTCTCCCCCTTAGTATGTGCTCTTCCCCTTACTTGATTATTCCTACTTTTCCCTGAGATAGGTTTGATAGATTCATTCCTACTTCTCCCCCTTTGTAATCAGACTCAACGTAAATTAGTAACTTTTGAAGTACATATGCATTGAAAATCAATACGTAATGACTTTTGAAGTACATATGCATTGAAAATCAATAATGACTTTTGAAGTATAGTAAATGTAAACAAGAGGAACAAATGTGTTCAATGTATTCTTAAGTAAGTTTGGCATATATAAATTACATGAATGTGTTAGAGTATTCAAACCATATCTCACAAGATGGCTTCTCATCTAAAAGGTGTTGCAAAATCAACTATGTCAGATCAAATACTTAAGGAGTTGTGTGAGTATAAGAGAGATAATCCTGTAAGCACACAAAAAGACTTGCAGAAATGTAAATATTGTAATAGAAGTGAAAGAAAGAAATATTATATAAAATAATACATTATTGTAAATATTTTAAAACGATATATCATGTATTAAATTCACAAAATATTCTTTTTCTTTATCCTTATCTTTATCTTCAAAAAAAAATATTATTAATGATATAATTGCGAAAATATTATATAAGAAAATATATAATTATTGTTATAGGGCGTTACACTTTAACTAACTTATAAATTAATTAGAATAAAACAAATTTATTTAGTGGGTCTAAGTTTATTTTAATAATTTTTAATTTATTTTCTTAAATTACTCCAAAATCTTTTTTATAATAAAGCGAATAAATTTGTTTATTTTTTTTTTCATACTTGATAGTTGATATCTTCTTATATTAATAATGTAATTGTACATATACTTAACAATTCACAATAACTATTAGAGTCCATCTGATATATATATATAT